ATACATCTGAGTCTCTTTTTCTGTTTTGCATATAGGGTTATCGTTACCATCTTTCTAAAGTCCATATATATGTGTTAGTATACTGTAATGGTCTTTATCTTTCTGGCTTACTTCGCTCTGTATAATGGGCTCCAGTTTCATCCATCTCATTAGAACTGATTCAAATGAATTCTTTTTAATGGCTGAGTAGTATTCCATGGTGTATATGTACCACAGCTTCCTCATCCATTCGTCTGCTGATGGGCATCTGGGTTGCTTCCATGTCCTGGCTATTATAAACAGTGCTGCGATGAACATTGGGGTGCACATGTCTCTTTCAGATCTGGTTTCCTTCGTGTGTATGCCCAGAAGTAGTTGGGTGCATGAGACAAGTGCTCGGGCCTGGTGGACTGGGAAGACCCAGAGGGATCGGATGGGGAGGGAGGTGGGAGGGGGGTTTGGGATGGGGGGGACACAGGTACACCTGTGGCTGGTTCATGTCAATATATGGCAAAAACCACCACAGGATTGTAAAGTAATTAGTCTCCAATTAAAATAAATTAATTTTAAAAAAGAATGGCCATGAAATGATAAATAATGAAAGATTGAGGAATAGTTCATGGAGCTTCACAACAGTTCTCTCCAGTTATATGTTCATGTGTGTATGTGTGTGTGTATATATATATTTATGAAAAATATCTATTACACAAGGAAGATTATGTCCTTGCAGTAATAATTTTATGTTAATAAGCTGGATTAAAAAGACTAGGAGGAAATATTTTGGTTTCAGGAGTGTAAGCATATATCAAAAACATCAAATTGTACACTCTTGTGCAGTTTATTTTAAGTGAATCATACCTCAATAAAGCTGTTAAAAAACCAAAGGTACTAAATACTCAAAACTTCTCTTTGCTAGTCATTTTACTATTGTGTATGTTCTTGGGTTTACTTATGAAAACTCAGTATGGTGGAAAAAATATAATGATGAGCTACTGTGCATCTCTTCTTATTCCATGTTCAGTGACATCATTTTGGCGTCTTGAAACTGGCCACTGTGGGGACCTGCCAGGTGTAAAGGTAAGATGGCTTCTACAACAGAAACATGCAGTGACACATCTGGCAAGAGCCTTGGATAGGCCAGAAAGTACAAGAAAGCTTGCCACAAATTCATAACTTATGGAGAATCTCCTCACTGTGGACATTCGTATATAAAAGGTTCAATATTAGGCAGATGTCTTCATCACAAAGGCTCTCCTCTAGTGTTATATTGAGCAAGTAGATTGCACCATTCTTGTATGTCTATGGTGAATCTTTGTGTGAATTTCCTGCTGTTCAATGAGGTTAAACTATCACCTGAAGGCTTTCCTATGTTCACTTCACTCATAAGGTCTCTCTGTAGTGTGGACTTTCCTGGTGTTGAATGAGGTTAGATCTTTGGATGAAGACTTTCTTAATTCACTGTACTCATAAGGCCTATATGATTGAATATTTGGTGCTGAATCAGAGAAGACTTTGACTGAAGACTTTCCCACATTCATGGCACCTGTAACATCCTTCTCCACTGTGGATTTTCTGTTGCTAAATAAGGATAGGCTTTGGCCTAAAGGTTTCTCTTCAGACAAGCTTTCAGTGATAAATCAGAGCAGACCTTGAACTGAAAGCTTCTCTATTTCATGAGGCTTTTTCTAGTGTGCAGTCTCCAGTGCTAAATAAGGTGTGTGCTTCAGCTAAAGAATTCCCCACATTCTTTGCACTCATAAGGCCTTCCTCTAATGTTAACTATCCAATCTTTAATGAGGTTGAAGCTTTCCTAGAGGCTCTCCCATACCCATTGCATACAGAAGATCTTTCTCCAGGATGAAATCTCTGGTGTTCAAGAAAGCTAGATAAAGAATTTCCCATATTCACTGCATTAATAAGGTCTTTCTTCAGTGTAAACTCATCGGTGAAAACGGGTCTGTATTTGCAGCTGAAGATTTTACCACATTTGTGGAAAGTTTAAGTACTTTTTCCTTTTTGTGGAGTCTCTGGTATTTGTGGTTGAAGGCTTTCCTGCATCCGTCACACTTCTAATGAATTTTCCTACTATGAATGGTCACCCCACACTTGGTGCTGCTGCATGGCTTCTTCTGTTGTTAAGTGCAGGAAGCGTGAACTGACCAGGAAGCACTTTCCAACTTTGTTTCAGGTAAAGGAATTCTTTGGTATATGGAGTTTGTAGCTCTTCACAAACAAGGTCCTGCCACATCCCTTCTGAAATTTTTTCTCTACTGTGCTGCTTCTGGTGAAGGTTTATACTAAAAGAATGGTTTCCCACATGCCCCATAAGTATACGGTTTTTGCCTGGGGTGTGTGCTCCTTTCCTCAGCCAAGTGCAAAATGTCTTTTAAGACAGAGATACATATCTCACAGCAGTGGGCTTTGTAGGGAAAAGGGACCTGCTTTGGGAGTCCTGACCTGTGACATTCCTTCTACAGAAACACTCTGCCCAGAAGGTGCCTCCTCGTCTTCCCCTCCATGCCAATAACCTGGAAACAAAGAAATACAGCTGAAGGACAGCTGACTCTGGTAGGAAGGAGCAACCTCCATCACAAAAGTGCATCCGATACACTAATGACTGAGTGCACGTGAGTCCACAGGATTGTTGTCAGGAGGGAGTTGGAGTCAGGTTGAGGAAGCAGCTGCTGTGTCGCAATGGTCCTCTAAAGGTCACAGCATGGGGGACATAAAGGACACAGTGAAGAGCCAAGTGCAGGGTAAAGGGTGGGGTACAGCACAAAGAGGAGATGCAGGTCTACAACTCACTCTGAATGGTTTCTAGCACTTCTCTGCTGATGAGCCAGGAGAGCTATGCAGAAGGATGTGTCTGGGCCCAAGAAAATCCAATAGCATCAGAGTTGTTCTTGTTCAAAGACTACTTAGAGATATGTGCACATCTCACAACAAAATATGTGTGGGGCAGTGATGGAGAACACTGTGAGAAAAAGCAGTGGAGAAGAATGGGTGGAATCCATTGTGAGAGTTACGATTCACCCTGACAGAGAGCCAGTGTAGAAATGACAAGTGAGCAAAGTGTCAAGAATGGAGGAGGAAAGGTAGAAATAAAGTGTGGCTGCTGGTACTGGCACCAAAATGTAGAGGAAACAGAACATAATCATGGTATGAACTGAACACACAGTCCTGAGATCACGCCCCCTCACTTGCCACTCAATAGTGCCAGGGACCCTCTGAGCCCATTTTGTGGAGCTGGAGTCATTAAAATGCCCACGCTGAGAAGCATCCATAGGTCTCCCCTGACTCCCCATGTAAGTATAGTGCCTGGATGATATAAGCTCTAAGGAAAAGACTGGACAGGTGAGTGGCCAACACTGACCTAGAGTAACTCAGAGTGACAGACATAGGAAAGAAAATTCAATATTACCAAAATTAACCTCAGAGGAGGATCTTGAAAGAATAGCCTATGGGCCACGTAAGTAGTGACCATATCAGTGACTACAATTCCTAGCATAGGAAGAAACGAGGATACATAAGCTAGAGGAAGGGAGTAGAACCTAGGGCAGAGGTGACACCTGGCCTGAGAAAGGTGGAATCCAAAGGCTAACTGCGAGACTTCTGACTCCCTCCCTGAAGGGCTTTGGGGCAGCAGGTACTGAGACTGAGTGAGAAAAAGACAGGACACTGAAGACAGCTCAGTCCTAGCAACCAGAGCACCTACCCAGGGAACTGGGGAAGGAAGCAGTGCCTGTGGTCCTGATGTGACAAAGATCTGATCTGTCCATGGGGAAAGGAAAATATACTGGGGCAGGTATGAGGGTCTTACCTAGAGAGGCCATAAGTGCAAAGTTCTCCAGCATCACATTGCAGTATAGGAGTTTCTGGGCCTCATCAAGGAGAACCCATTCCTCCCAGGAAAAGTACACTGCCACATCCTCAAAGGTTATGCTGCCCTGCCATGATGAGGAGGGAGGAAATCATGAACAGCCTCTCGGTCAAGGATCCCCAATCCATATCCCCACATATGTATTCCATGCTCATACTTCTCCCCAGCCCCACAACTAAGATGAGGTATTGGACTCTGGTGCCATTTGTGTCTGTTCCCTCCTAGTGGTCCCATTAGTTACTGTGTCTAGTCCTCAGCAACATTAGGCAGGTGGGCACAAGGATGCCATTAAGATCCAGGCCTGCCATGTAGGGCTCCACCTGTCCTGCCAGGCAATTCCCGGGAAGTCTCCCAGATGCTACCTCCCAAGCACAACCAAACTTGGGCCCGCCCTTCATCCTTCAGTCCCTAAAACCAGGACTCTGGTGACATCACTTCATACTTCTTCTTCATGTGCATATCATACTTTAGACTGTACCTCTCTTCTATCTCCAGACCCTATAGCCACCACCACCTCCTCTCTATCCCATGCTGCAAACCTCTCCCTGCCTTCCCCATGTGTTACTTACCTCATGATGTCAAGATTATGCAAATGCAAACAGGATTCAGCACCTCATTGGCTCCCACTGCCAGGGGCAGCCTTGAATCCTGCTATCCCATCCTCACTCCCTGGCTGATTGCTTGTGTCACCCTCAGCCATTCAGAACCACGTGCATTCAGATCCCACTGGTCCTCTTCCACTTCTGTGTGGCACTTACTGTCCCCTTGTTAGTCACAACCCTCCTCTCTCAACCTAACACTCATTCAAAGCCCAACCTCATGGCTCTCCTCCTACAGCTTAGTGACTCAATGAAACAACCACATTTTCCCCTGACTGAATCCACCAGCCTGATTGAAACACTCCAGCATCACCCAAAATCTTAGTAAGTCCTTGGCCTTGGGCTTGGGATTCGGCTTCGGCTTTGTTTTCTTTTTTCTTGTTTTTTTTTTGGGTTTTTGCTTTTTTTCACGTTTTCTTTTTCCTTGGGAGGCTTTGCCCCCTTGCAGACCATCCTCTTCCCAAGCCCCCTTTCATGGCCAGTTCTCTACCTCAACAATGCTTGGTGATTGCATGCTACCGCTAACCAGGTGCTCAAAGAAGACACCCAGTCCTGGGGCACCACCTTCCCTTTCCTGGCCTGCTAATAGCATTACCACCATAACCCCCTCCCAAATGTGACCCACAACTCCACCTAATCTTGGATACACAGAGTAACCACCACCATTTTGATGTCTCCATCTTGAATCATTCCCCAGAGTTTCAGATATTTATGTCCAACTGCCAATTTAATGCCTTCAAGCAGTATTTTCTGAAACATCTCAGATTCTTAACATGGCTTTCCTACCCCCAAAAAATAAAACAGAAAACTCCTGATAATCCCATTAAAAATTACTGCCAGCTTTCTTTTCTTCCTTCCAAAACCTCAGGGTAATCCCCAACTCCTACCTTTTTCTCTCTCATCCTCAACATTAGAACATCCAGTCAGTCATACATTAAAGGGGCTTCCCTGGTGGCTCAGAGAGTAAAGAATCTGCCTGCAATGCAGGAGACCTGGCTTCAATCTCTGGGTCATGAAGATGCCCTGGAGAAGGGAATGACTACTCACTTCAGCATTTTTGCCTGAAGAATTCTATGGACAGAGGAGCCTGAGGGGTGGGGTGGGGTGGGGTGGGGTGGGGATATGGTCCATAGGGTCGAAGAGTCGAACACAAATGAGTGACTAATATATCCTTCTCACTCACTCACTCATATATAAAAAAACAGATCTGGAACCCAACCACTTCTCCTACTTTCATGGCCACCAGACTGTCCAGTTACCACCAATACTCATCTGGACTACTATAGTAACATCATCCCTGATCTTCCTGCCTCCTCCCTCACTCCCCTAAATCTGTTCTTCACTCTGCAATCTAACAGAGCCTTCTAAGACCTGAGTCACATAACCTCCTTATTCCTATATCATTGCTCCTATCCTCTCCAGGAAAACATTCAACTTCTCAGGCTGCCATTTCAAGTCTGGCTGTTTCTTTCCTGATCACCAGAGCAAAGAGAAATGCAGTTCTCTGAACACTCTCAGCTCAACCTTACCTTCAAGCATTTGGACATACTACTACTTGTGCCTGGAATAACCTGCCCCACCTCATTCCCTTGGTTGCCAGACATAGGAACTACTTCACATAAACACTGACCTAGGGCTTGGGATTTCTCAAGAGTCCCCAGGCCAAAGGGCTAGGAGAGTGACAGTCTGCATCCTAGAGCATCACAATCTCAGAGAACCTGTGTGTTTTGTGTGAGGAAGTTGGGACTGGTGAGATACCACTCACCTCGCTAGGGTCCTTAAGCCTTTCTGTGGCCATGGAACCTGTGGGAAGAGAGAGGCTGTGAGAAGCAAGTCACTATGGAAGGTCACCATGGGCTCAAACCTCCTTTGTACCCTTGCCTAGTGCTGGGGCCAAGTGACCTTGGGCTTACTGTTAACTTCTCTTTTTTAAAATTTTCTTTATTTTTGGCTGTGCTGGGTCTTCCTGCTGTGTGGGTTTTTCTCTAGTTGCAGAGAGCAGGGGCTACTCTTCATTGTAGAGCAAGGGCTTCTCACTGTGGTGGCTTCTCTTGTTGCAGAACAGGGGCTCCAAAGCACAGGCTCAAAAAGTTGCAGCAAATGGGCTTAGTTGCTCTGAGGCATGTGGTAACTTCCTGGATCAGGGATTGAACCTGTGGTCTCCTGCATTGGCAGGTGGATTCTTTACCACTGAGCCACCAGGGAAGCCTTATTGTTAACTTCTGTATCCTAGTCTTCAGTAATACCTCTTACCAGCTGTGTGACTTTGGAGAAGGGCTCAACCTTCAGGTGACTCACTGTCCTCATCACCCCTTTTCTAGTTGGGGGGAAACTTTAAAAACTCTAACTCAGACTGTGTTCCTCCTCTGTTCACAACCCTCCATGCTTCCAAGCACCATAAGAACCTAGGTACACCTCCTCCAACTGCCGTTCCAAGCTCCACTCCCCAGTCACACTCTGTTCTATACTGACAGGACATGAAGCCCAGGTTTCCCCAACAGTCCTGGACCAGAAGCTCCTCCAGGTCTTTGCACACACGATCTCTCTGCTTGTAACACTCCCACATCTCATCACACTGACTTTCGGAAATGGGCCCTCCCTTCTCACACCCTTGCAGGTGCTGGACCCTCTGACCTAGGCTGTGGTAATTCGCCCATGCTCCCCATATGTGGTGCTTTAGGATTCAAATGTGGGAGTGGTTCAAGTGAGGGCCTGAAGATCTCAGTACCAACTCATGCCAGGTCCATCAGTGAGGCCTCTGTGATCTGAGCCTGTGGGTGAACAGGGACGGGAATGACCTGTGACCAGTGTGGGAACTCCAACATCACCCCTTCCAACCCAACCCTAACGTGGGTCCTCCCAGGCGGCCCCCACTCCAAGCCTCAGATTCACCTCTGTGCAGTGAGGACAACAGTTTCTCTCGACCTTTCAGTCTCTGATTGACTCAGACCCGGCTCAGCGATCAAGAGCTATGGCGCTGGTGAATCTGCCCCAAGCCAGCCAAAATGACGGCCACAAAGAGAGGCCGGAAGTTCCGCCCCTATCTTTTGCCAAATATGGCTCGCCCCTCTCCCGCGCCTTCATTGGGTCAGCACTGCCGGTGTTCAGCGCAGAGCACTCTGGGTAATATAGTCATCTCTCCGCACGCGGCGGAGAGCGAGTATCCCATCCATTACTAGCCGCAGAAAAGGAGCTTTGCTTTCTCTCAAAAGAAAGGCACATGGATTTGTGAGCAGTGTAGTCTGCAGTCGATCACCAAAGTGTTGATAAAGATTATTTCACAGTTCATCGAGGTCAGCATGCTCTTAACGGCTAAGCGTTTTTTCCGATGCTCCAAAGACCGCAAATCCAAGTGGTCATTCCATGGTGTCACTGAGACTCAGAGTGCTTCCACACGTAGCTGGGAGCTAATAAACGTAACTTGTTGCTCTTCAAATGCATGTAGCCTAAAGTGTTAATCAGTTTTGTGCATTTCAGTATGTTCTGTCAAGAACTAAAGGGGAAAAGCCAGATCACGTAAGATGCAAGAGGGATGTTTGGAGGCCCTTCAAAGAAGTAGCCACACTGAGAATGATATTTCCAAAAGTGATTCTTTTTCATTCTTGAAAATATTGTAAAGAGAACATGTAGAGTTACCAGAATAGTGAAAGTGGACAGAGATCTGTAGTGTTATGTTTTTTCCACTGATCTAACAAATGTTCTCTGAGCATTATTGTAGGTGCATGGGAGACATCATGAAACAATTGAGACAAAAACTCTTGCCTTCAACGGAGCTTATATTATATTCAAGGAAAACAGACAACAGGGAAGAAGTACTTGAGGACTTCCCTGGGGATCCAGTGGTTAAGAATCCACTTTTCAATGCGGTGGACATGGGTTTGATTCCTGGTTGGGGAACTAAGATCCCACATGCCTCAGGCCCATACACTCTGCAACCCACGTGCCACAACTAGAGAAACCTGAGCTCTGCTAAGAAGATTGCACATGCAGCAACTAAGACCAGATACAGCTAAACAAATACATAATTGTTTTAAAAGACAGAGAAGAAATACTAAATTAAATAAGTAGAATGTAGTAGGCAGAATGGAGAGGAGTGTTTATGTGCTGAGAAGTAGGGCGGTAGTCTGTAATGTTACCACAAGGAGGCACAGGACTGAAGACACCAGACTGGCTGCACCCCTCTCCCACCTGCTCCACCTGCTGGTTTTTAGGAATAGGACCTTTTGACACTAACAGGATTTGTTTGGTTTTTAACAACTCAGGGTTTTGTTTTTATATACATGTGTGCAGTAAGGGAGATCTCCTTAGTAAGAAGATAACTGAGTAAACACTTGAAGGAGGTGAGGAATGAGTCCTGTTGGGTTTATTGTTTCAGGCAGTTCCAGGCAGAAGAAACAAGTGATTTAGGGGCTTCAGTGGGTGGAGACTGGTGGGGGTTTGTGGTCACCTGCATCCTGGGGCTTCCTCGCTGGATTCCTTAGTGGTGGAGGGACTAGCACCTCCAGGGGGACATTTCTCTGTTTTGCTTACTGCCGAGACCTCCAGGGATGTTAGTGAGAACTCTGGCATCTGCCCTGCGGAGTCTGCAAACCTCCAGCCCTGTTGTCTGGGGCATGAGATAGCATTGCCTTTCCTAGGACACTTCTCTGAGTTTGATCTGTGAACCAGCAGCAAGAGCATCACATGAGAACACTTTTTTTTTAAGGATTTTTAAAAATTATTATTTTATTTTATTTATTTAATAATTTTTGGCTGTGCTGGATCTTTACTGCTTCTTGAGTTTTTCCTCTAGTTGTGGAGAGCAGGGGCTACTCCTTATTGAAGAGCACAGGCTACTCATTGAGGTGGCTTCTTTTGTTGCTTCAAACAGGCACTAGGACACTCAGGCTTCAGTAGTTGTGGTTCCCTGGGCTCTAGAGCACAAGCTCAATAGTTGTGGCGGAGGAGCTTACTTGCTTTGAGGCTTGTGGGATCTTCCCAGACCAGGGATCAAACCTGTCTCCTACACTGGCAGGCAGATTCTTTACCATTGAGCTGCCAGGGAAGTCCCACATGAGAATACTTAAGGACTCTCAGTTGTTTGAACCTAGACCTACTGAATCAGACATTCTAGGGTGAAAGTCCAAAAATCTGCCTTAAAGGGGCTCTAGGTCATTTCATGAAAGTTTAAGAACATTGTCTCCATCTGCTGTGATTTCTATGAATGTGAATCATGCGGTTTTTGTTTGTTTTTTGCTACTAACAGGAATCACTTCTAAAGGCACAGGAATTTTGAACTGAGGTTGCAAAATGCGTTTGTAAATGTTATTTTTCCTAATACTTTAACATATAAAATGTCAACCCTATACACGTTTCTAAAATACAAAGTGAAAAGTCTGATAATTTTAGCTTCTGGAGCAATGTTTGCAAGCTTCTGTTATCCTTTTAGAACTGAATCTTCACATGTAAGTCTTGCTCTATGCGTGTGTTCAGATATATTCCTATACACATTGTTTTTCTTTGTAAAAATAAAGTTATACTTTGAATGCTGATTTGCAGTTCGCGTTTCTCCATTTATCTTGGTCAACCTAAAGCTACCTCTTTATTTAACTCAAAATCTCCTTACGGACACCTTGTGCGCCACAAGCCGCCTCCTCCTTTTAAAAGCTGCCTCGTGTCATTGTCAGTATGCACCATGGCTGCCCAGAAGAGGTGGGGTCAGCCCTAGTTGGGGGGGCTTTTGCGACGGTGGCTTAAATCCGCTGGACCGCTCTGCCAAAGCCATGAAACAGGAGGTCCTGTGAATGGCAGGTGCTCTCCGACCTCCAAGGGGTGGGGAACGCGGTTTGAGAGAGTGAGAGAGGCTGGTTGGAACGCCTTTCGGGTCTTAGCGCTCAGATGCGTCCGGGTCTGGCCTACTGGTTTCGTGTTCCGTTGTGGTCCCCATCTTCACTTCCAGGAGCCTGGCAGTGACGTCGCATCACCTCGCCGCGGCTGCGCCCTGCGGTCCTGGCCAGGTTTCCCTAGATTGTGCCGACAGGTGTGAGGGCGAAGGGGCCGCTCGATCCGCGCTCGGGGGCGCCCTCTACTGGCAGGAACTGGCCAGGCTGTTGTGGGTCCCCAGGGAAGGCCTTCCGCGGCGCTGACCTGACCCTGCTGGCGCCTGGGCGCCGGAAGTCACTTCCTAATACTTTTCTGCTTTTCTCTCGAGTCTTAGAGCGAAATTCACTGGTAGAACCTGTTGGAAAAGTCACGAGTCGGGATGGCTGTCGCTAGCTGGCTGGCCGCTGCTCGTTCGCCTCCTGGCGGCCGCTGTTCAAGGCCGGAATTCGGTCTAGGAGGCCGCCTGAAACATTTGGCCTGTGAAGACAGATGTAGAGACTCAACCTCTGGAGCCAAAAATAAAGATTTAGTCTCAGGACGCAGCTCTTGAGAGAGTGCTGGGAGCTCAGCTGTTGAGACCAGCACTGGGCGAGTTAGGCCTGGTGCCCAGAGGAGCCAGGGACTTAGGATGGCACCCTATCCTGGGAGGGCACCCTTGAGAAGGCTCAGGGGCCTGTCGGTACCCCTCCTAGCAGTTTATCCACAAGAGCTGATAGGGAAAGTTGAAAAGAACCTTAAAGTCTTCTGTGGGTCCGATGTGCCTGCGGCTAGTCACTCAGAACCCTTCTACCAGCAACTGTCAGCTGCTGGCCCTCTGGAGAAAGGGCATGCATGCTAAGGCACAGTGTTACTTCCAAGGGGTGGTCTCTCTGGGGTCTCCACGTGATGCTCAGGGTGTTCAGAAAGGAGGTCTCTCCCTCCTCTCTGGTCAGGATTTGAAATGAATTCATCTGGTCAGGATTCAAATGAATTGCATACTGTGGACCTCTGCAACCTCCATTCAGCACTCAGCCCCCAGCAACTGTTCTCACCGGGCCTTATACAACCTTGTCCAGAAGCCGCCCAGTGTAGTCTTCTGCCAAAACGCCAGGAGAGCCCGTACAGATTTCTGTGGCTGCCTCTCTACACATATCCCATTTTATGGGAGGCCCACACACAATTGCCTGAGCAGCTCCAGGCTCTCATCCCTGTTGCCTCCACCCTATTCTCTCTGGGCTCTACTTCCATGAACAGTTTTGGAAAATGTCTGGGCAACTGGATGACTCAAATTATGGTTTGTCTGACTTTCAGTGGTCTTAATCATAATAGTTTGCTTCCAAGTAATTCTGATTATCCCTGGTTTTGAAACCAAATTAATCATTTTGGGGAAAGTTTTTATTTCCCTTCATATTATGGATTTATCTTTTTACTTCACCAATATTCCCTGGGGTGCTTACTTACTGAGTCTGTGAAAAATTAATAGTGACTTCTGTTAACATCTCACTCCTCTCCATTTAAAGAGAACTGGGACTTAAGCTTAATAACCAATCCTTTTTTTAAAAAATCAGTGTTTCATTTACACAGTTCTTTTTCTTACTGCTTTCATTGCATTAAGTCAGGTATTTTTTAAGCTGCATTAAAATTTACATCTTTTATTTGTTTTCATAGAGTGGTTGCACTTAAGATAAGAACCACATTTATATTCATACCAATTTTTCCCTTAAAGAAAGTCTCCTACATATGAATGAGTTCTGTTCCAAGAGGTCATTCACAAGTCCAATTTGTTCATAAATCCAACAAAGTTAGCCTATGTACCTAACAAACACAATTGGCTAGATAGTACTATACTATAATAGATTTATAATACTTTTCACACAAATATGTACATAAAAAATAAACAAGCACAAAAAATAAAGGAAACATTTTTAATCTTACATTACTTTGAGAAGTACAGTAGGTTCAGTACAACAGTTGGCATAAGGGGCTGGCATGCACATTCACATCTTTGAAAGTTTGCAACTTGTAGGGAACTTACTGTCTGTGCATTAGTTTGCTAGAGCTGCTATGACAAAGTACCACAAAGTGGGTGGTTTAACCAACACAAATTGATTGTCTCACAGTTCTGGAGCCTGGAAGTCCAATATTAAGGTATTGGCAGATTGCCCTCTCTCCTTGGCTTGCTGTGTCCTCACATGGTTGTCCTTCAGTCCATGTTGTATGTATCCCAATCG